TTTCCATCATGTCTAGAAGCAGAAAGAGGGAATAAGAAAACAAGCCTGGCACAGTTCCACAAGTCTTTGCGTTCACTCAGCACTAAAGTCAAGCTGTGAATATCATCGGATGGAGAAGAAGAAGAGAACAGGCAACAACACAGAGGACAGAGGATGAGTGATAGTAGGAAATGAGGGAGCGAGAGAGAGAGAGAGAGAGAGAGAGAGAGAGAGCGAGAGAGAGAGAGAGAGAGAGAGAGAGAGAAGAGAGAGAGAGAGAGAGAGAGAAGAATTTGGGTATACAGAGAGAGAAAAGCAATTATCTCACAGCATCCGGGATGCTATGACGTGGCAGTTGACAGGCAGGGAGAGCTGCAGCTTATTGCTTAGCTTTTCCATCATCGCTGTCCGGTCCCCACAAACCCCCCGTTTGCTTTCTCCTTTCCCATCATTTCTCTATTGACAACAGCGAGGAGAAGTTCTCACCCCCCTCAGCTACCTTTGATTACGGCACAAACAGCAGCTCTGCAGTGTGTGTGTGTGTGATAGTGTGTGTGAGCTGCTCCTCTTAAAGGCTGCTCTGCTGAAGTCCCCCTCTGTGCTATAGCCTTGTCAAAGCAGATGCCTAAGCGCTCCCTAAGAGCTGTCCGTCTTTTCATCAGCAGCAGTGACAGAGGGGAATGCTGTGTGTGTGTGTGTGTGTGTGTGTGTGTGTGTGTGTGGTGTGTGTGTGTGTGGTGTGTGTGTGTGTGTGTGTGTGTGTGTGTGTGTGTGTGTGTGTGTGCGTGCGTGTGTGCGTGTGTGTGTGCGTGTGCGTGTGTGTGTGTGTGTGTGCGTGTGTGTTGGTCGTTATCACTTTTTTGGGACATCAATCTGTTTACACACTTACGTCATGGGGACCTCTGACGCTTTGGGGACTAAAAAGCAGAACAACATTTTAGATGAATGCAGGAGTGTGTGTGTGATTGCGTTACTGGAGCAGCAAAGACTCTCTGCTCACTTTTAAGACTGAACAAGGATTGTCTAATACACCGTGGTGGAAAACAAGCACGCTGAGCCAACTATTATTTTTCAAGGCTTTTAACTGACAGTGGGAAATAAAGACGCAGTGTGTAGCCGCGTTAAGCATCGTGATGTACATGCAAATTGACACGCTAACACACACACGTGCACACAAAGTCAGTCTCCAACGGCCCCTCGCAGAGTGAAACCTTTTTCCAGCATGCTGACCTGAACATACATGAGCGTGAGGGAGACACGGAAAGGTGCTAAATTAAAAATGATAGTCTCTTGATGGCTGTAAGTGGTGTTCTGGACCTAGGCTGCGCCCCCCCTCCTCCCATTATAAAAGCTTAATGCTGTAGAGGGCTGTTTCTGCTGCCAATCCTTCAGTAGACCTGCCTGCTTACTAGCCTTTAGCACCTTTAAGGTCACGCATAGGTAAAAATGCTGGTTAACTTTAGACGTACACAACAAAAATAGGGATATTCAAAACACTCATCACATGGAGATATTTTTTACCTAAACAATCATCATCTGCTCTGGGGAATGGCATGAGAATAATTAATGATAAACTCAAAAATGGATTAATTTAGATCTAAACTCAGAACATTTCTCTTATCCACCATAATCCAATCATAAAGAGGCAGTTTTCTCACAAGGTGACTTTGCTGTGGTAGAGTTTCAGGACCACTACTGATAACAGAATGATTGTCATGTCAGCATGCTGCTGAATTTCCCCTCACATGCACACAGACTCAAACACAGTCAGTGCTTCACAGTTAAAGTGGGGGCAGTGAATCGTGGAATATCCACCCAGGTGATGCATAGCTAACAAGGGTGAACACAAGTCATTTTTTTTTTCTGCATGGTACAGAGCTGTTCTACAGTATTTGTTTAACACCATGGGATTATTCTACCTAGATTACTTTTAGGGAACTATGTAGCCAAAAGTAGCTTCAGAGGAGACTTTGATGTGGCCGGCTTGGGTCAGGAGTAAGGCAGATTTGGTTCTGATTGAAGCATCCCCTTGGTTAATCAACAAATCCAGTCACGTTTGCTATTTTCAGCTACTTATGTTCAGCTGAGAGTACACATGTAATGTGGGACTAATTGCTCTTTCCCCTCAAAACAAACACTGTAAAACTGGGTCTCGTTTGCCAAGTTACCAGTAGCCACGATTTTGCATTAAAACCTTCAGTAAGGTTACATAACATTAAATGTTTGCCATCCATCAAAGTAATTAAAATGTTGCCAATTTTCTGAATTAATGTAAGGTTTTTCAATTGTTGAGATAAAAAATAAAATAATCGGACTAAGCCCTAGTGTTGCAATGCGCCAATGTTTTCCAAAAACGTTCTTCGTTTACCTCTAATTAATCCCCTTGTGTGTTAAAAGGAAAAGTCAATAGCTTCGTCTTTTTCTCTTTGATGTTAACGAGTCTGGCTAATTGTGCAGGAAACCAAGGTTACCCTAGCATAATGTGTGACCACGGAGTGTACATCTACAGTACAAGTACAGGGAAATGTACGGTCAGGCTTTCTGTTAGGGGGGTCAAAGGCTAGAGCTGACCCCAGGTCTGAGGCCCAGGAGGGGCAAATGACAAGTTATGTATCGATGATGTTATTGAAAAAACATTGTTAAAAAACATCAGGAAGAGCGCTACATAACTTTAGGTTTTAGCAGCTAGCATGGCTAAATAACATAGCTAACAGCTAACACTAAAAGAGGTTGCTGAGTTACATAATTATGCGTTTCACTACTTTGAGTAAAGCAACTTGGAAGAAACTTAAATAAATACAGTTTTTGGAAGTTAGTAGTTGTTTCAGAGCAATATAAAACAGATTTTAGGGAGGAAATGATGACACTATGAGCCCTCCCCATCAATAGCTCTAAGCAGATTATAAAAAGATGTATAAAAAATGTATTCAATCATCTATTTACATTAATAATTTGGAATGTGGTTTATGCAAATAACCCCCATAGATTACAAAAACAAAGTAAAAGGACAACATAAAAAAAGGACAACATAAAAAAATAGTTTTTGTGACAATGGTAAAGAGCCTTGGGTAAAGGGCCTGATTTGATTTGTCCTCTGTTGTCCTATTTTTTATTCCTTGTGTGTATCACAACAACAAAACAATTCTAATAAGATTCTCACAATTTAGCACATTTCTAAAATAAATTGTTGGAAGGCTTAAACAGCAACATTACGTAAACAAAGATTTACTAAGCAATGCAGTCACATTTAATACAATTCATAATTAATAAAAAAACAGAGGATGAATAATTCAGTAGTTTACTCCACTGAGCTGAGTCCCTACAGCAAGAAACAAAAACAAAATACACTTAAATAAAGTGCAGTTTGTACAAAAGGTTGTGATTTGTTTCCAGGGAAATGCAAAATCTTTATGATAACAGATATACCTAAACTGGCATGGCAGTTTACTGTCAGTCACACTGGTGTATAGGCAGTGCTAGTCACCTGTTTTATGTGATTCAGAATGCAAATAATTAAGCTTGGACAAGTGATTTGCAAAATATGATCACATCTGCGCCAATTTCCAAATCCAACACTTTAGTGTGCAGATACAACCAGAGATACAGAAATAGCAGTAAGCTCATTTAAGGTAATTTGAGAAGAAATAAGAGCTGCAGAGGAGAAGAGAGGAGAGGCATCACCACCATGTTTACAGCCCAATTCCCTAAAGATGTTTTAGATTCTTCTCTCATTACCATTATTTATGTCACCTTCATCTTCCCCAGTGGACACATACACATATCAACACAAGCTCAAGAGTACCTTTATAGTATCTACTCATCTGCTACATCCAAGGTTAAAGAATCCTTCTTGAATCCAAAACCAGACATTCTCATATGAGCAGTTGAACACACATGTGAGTTTAAATTAAGCAGCAATAGAAGACAATTGGAGAGGAGACAATGCACAGTTAATTGGACCAGCTTGGGAAATCTATCTGTGCCTGGCTGCTATGGGAAACCCAGATAAGGGCTGCATACGTGATGAAGACACAGTGAAATACACACTCTCAATAATATTGACAGTGAAGCACAGAATGGAAAAGTGGCCTCTTGTCTGACCAAAGTAAACGTCTGCCAGCCATTATCTTCAAACCCTGAGGTAGACTAAGGATAACTACAGTAAGTGTTGTTCTGGGTGTGTGTGTGTGTGTGTGTGTGTGTGTGTGTGTGTGTGTGTGTGTGTGTGTGTGTGTGTGTGTGTGTGTGCGTGCGTGCGTGCGTGCGTGCGTGCGTGCGTGCGTGCGTGCGTGCGTGTGTGTGTGTGTCTGTTTAACAGTCCCGTTCTGCTTCAGGGTCACCATTGCTGCAGAAAGAGAATCTCATTATGGTGTTTACCTCAGTGATTACAGTAGACAGTTCATCCTTTTAGTTCCACTCCATTTGACGCTGCTGATAATGTAAAATGTTTGCAGAAAAATCTTTGTGCGTTTTTGATGCGTGTGTACGTGCGTGCATGTGTGGGTCCCGCTGTAACAGATATAATGAGCCAGTGAACTTTGTTGGGGCTGCGCTTCTTACATAGTTAGAATTGAGTTTTCCATGTTTAATGTGCATATCAGTGTGTTACAAAAGAAAAACGTTTCATTGATAAAATAGTCAAGATTACAGAAGCTGAATAAACACAGTAATTCACAAGAGGGGAGAGATTGAGAAACACATTTGAAAAATAAGAGTGAACATCTGAAAAGTCTCTTCTATGGAGGGATTTATTCCATACCAGAATTTAGTTTGTGAGAAATGCTTCAGTGGAAGGAAAAACAGCTGACGACTCTGCAACAAGGTCATTCTTATTATTAAGATAATCTGCATATGCTAATTAGGAGAGCTATTTATATTTGAATACAGCTATGGGAAATAAATGATGGACACTAGCTGCTTTATCAGATGCTGAGGTCATAACGTCTTCCAGTTAGTTGTAGCCCTAGTTTTCCTAAAGTCTTGTAGTTTTGTATTATTTTAGAGGCCTTAATTTGTCTTACCTGTGTGGTAGTGCAGATGCAGGTCCTGGCTGTGGTCTCCTGTGGTCATGGGGTTAAAGGTCACAGTCACCTGCATGCTCTCGCCTACATCAAGAGTCCCACAGGGGGGCGTCATAGAGAAAGGGCTGTAAAGGAATAGAAAGTTATTTGAAAAAGTGGGAAAACAAACAGAAGTAAATGCATGACAGATAAGACTTAAAGGGCCCTATTATGCTAATTATCAGATTTCATAAGTGCTTTATTTTTATCGTAGACTTAATCCTATCCTGTACTGACTCTCACCTCTTTGTGTCTAGATTGAACTTGGCCACAGCATTTCCTATGTTGCGGACCAGGTGAGTCCTCTCTGTGGAGGCTTTCACGGTACAGATGGGTAAATGGAGCTCATCGCGAAGATCAAGAATGCCACGTGGCCCGATGGCAAGTATTGGTACCTCAAACCGCTCCCTCTCCGTCACACAAACCAGTCTGTGGTGGTAGTCCTAGATGAAAAAAAAGTGTTCAACTATCAAGAGATCCATACAAACTTAACACAAAAAGTAATACCCAGGGGGCAAAACCCCATTTTTTGGGAAATCAGATATGGAATGTTGTAAAAAGGTTGTCCACCAGAAATGATATCTAGGACCTTCAAGGATCACAACCTGGGTGGACAACCTGGTCAACTAGCTACTGAACCACATGTTGAGGTCCCAGTGCTCTGAACATAATGTTCCTCCACATGTTGAGGTCCCAGTGCTCTGAACATAACGTTCCTCCACATGTTGAGGTCCCAGTGCTCTGAACATAACGTTCTTCCACATGTTGAGGTTCCAGTCTGTCTGGAATAATGACCAGAGCTAGCTTACAGTCTGCTGATCTGTGGGACCGATTGCTGCACAGTGTGGTAACTGTTTTTTAAATCAGCGGCTGTTACCTCTTCTGTTTGGTAATGCTCTTTTAGTTCCAGAAAGAATATATTATCAATAGATCCATATTTTCTTTATGGGTCAGGTTTTTTTTGTGAGTTTTAGTGAAGCGTCACTGTTCACCTCCATGCACAATTGAAAAATTATTCTGGCTAATCTCACAAAACTGTCTGGGAAACGCCGTCCACCGGCTACACCCATAAGTAAATAGATTTCTCTGTTGATGATCGACATCTGACACAGCTAATCGTGAACACCTTTGGATAAAAGGAACGTTTTAAATGGGACTGTCAATCAAGTGGAGGACATCGGCTAAATGTGTGGGACAAATGATAAGAATGCTGTGTAGTTCTGCGCAAAGCGGGACACCTGGGGGGTATACTACGAAGCAGGATTTTCACTTAGCCGGCTAAATTCAGGGAAAACTCCGGCTTTCCGGTCCTACGAAGCTGGTTCTCTTTTTAGCAGGCTAGATCTCCATGGTAACTTATGCTTAGCGGCTAACCTGGTCGGGACCAGGTTAGGTTGCAGGCTAAGAGCTCAACTCAGTGAAAGCACCGCCTGCTGACCAATCAGAGCTCAGTGTGCGGAGTTTAAAGCGATCAAGTCATATTACAGGAGAAAGGAAATACAGAAAAGCTGCCGTCGCAGGAAAGACGGCCGTCAAAAAATCACCGACTGTGTGAACGTGAACATTAATAGAATATCACCTCCATCTTCAGAGCAATCTGACTATTATAACATTAGCGTTAAGAAAGCTTACTTAAATATCTGCCACAACATAAGTACACCGAGTGCAGACGTCGATGTGTCCCATTATCATTCATATCACTTCATAATGTATCATATATTTCCCTATCTGAGTCAGCTGAGCCGTATCTGGCCGTGCAACCCTCACAGTGTCACATACTGTATGCAGAAGTATTATTTTAAGCAACACATTAAGTTGACGAAACACTCGAGTCAAATGTAATTAAAGTCAGATCGTGTCTTAGACGGGTCAGTGATATCATAAACCTGTTAATGTACGCATTCAAACACTTTTTCTTTTACCAGCTGTATTCACCTTGCAGGTGCAGACTATGTGGCTTTGATCCTGGATAAAGTGTTTACTAATATTTTAGCTCACTTTTCATTCAGGAAGTATGACGCTGCGCTGTCAGTACGCTTGTCCATGTTTGTGATTGGTCGAATGCTCCAAATACCACCCCTTTCATGTGAACGCGCACCTAACTAGATAGGACACGGCTGGCTTGAGCGATCCACTTGATAACCAGCGTCGTAGTACAGTTTAGCGGATACAAGCGGCCGAGATGGGTTTTCTCCGCAGGGTGGCTGGTGTCTCCCTTAGGGATAAGGTGAGAAGTTCGGTCATCAGGGAGGGACTCGGAGTTGAGCCGCTCCTACTTCGCGTCGAAAGGAGCCAGTTGAGGTGGTTCGGGCACCTAGTTAGGATGCCACCTGGGCGCCTCCCTAGGGAGGTGTTCCAGGCACGTCCAGCTGGGAAGAGACCAAGGGGTAGACCTAGGACCAGGTGGAGGGATTATATCTCTTCGCTGGCCTGGGAGCGCCTTGGGATCCCCCAGTCAGAGCTGGTTGATGTGGCCAGGGAAAGGAAAGTTTGGGGCTCTCTGCTGGAACTGCTACCCCCGCGACCCGACCACGGATAAGCGGGAGAAGATGGATGGATGGATGGGTAGTACAGTTTAGCGAGAGCGCGTATGTTTTGGATTAGGCCAACCGGCTAACTCAAACATATCCAGGTTAGGTTGAACCGGCTTCTTAGTACAGGCCCCTGGTCACCCTAGGCGGAACACACACATTATTCTCAACTTTTGGTAACATTGAGAGATAAGGCCGGCTGAGGTCTGTGCTCTCGGAGTGCCCTTCCAACTTCTAGTTTTGCAAGTACTTGATCCAACCAAAGTATTTGACAAAATGTCAATGTAGACCAGATGTTATGGTAATTAAATGATACCTAAATGCATAATAAAGGACAGAAGTTGCTATGATGCATCCTCTGTGGATGAAGAATGTCTGAACCAAATTTTGCAACAATCTATCCAAAGGTCCTGATATAGATTGTGAGAAGGCGAGAGATTTAAATGATATTCATCTCATGGTAGAGCTAAGAGAAGTAATTGGATCCTTGATGTTCTTAGGATTCATTTAATCCGTGGGGACCATGAAATGTCCATCCCAATTTTTACCAAAAGATACCAAAGATTTTTTAGAAGATCTACACTATAAAAAAGGATTTTGGAGGGTAGTATATATTATCCAAGCAAATCATTTAAATTGTACTCAAGGTATATAAGTGAGTATTGTTAGTATATTTGAATGGGTAAATTCTACCTACACTACCTAATTTCTGACAGTACCAACTGAAACACAAACAATCTGGGTAAAATCTACTTGAAGACATTAGGCCCACACTGCCCCTTTGCGCATGCGTCTGCGGTGATTCTTGGCTGCAGGCCAGAGGAACGGTTCTCTTTCGCGCCTCCCTCCTCCTGGTGTGTGGAAATGTTGTAAGGTAAGATATTACTGTCTATCATGTCCTACATATACATGTTCACGTTTTTTGAGGTTCATCACAAGACTTGTTGTCTGCTTGCTTCACTGTTAGACAAGGAATGTAAGTTTGTTCTCATCTATTACTCACTGGAAGTCGGTCACTGATGCTAGATAGCTGTAGCTAACATAGGAGCTAAGAGTAAAGCACTATGATGTTTAGCTCCATATTGTTAATAATTGTTATTACAGCAATAATGTGCATGTTGACGGCATGCCGTCTGAAACGAGTTAAGCGTCACGGCGACAGTTGTATATTAATGTAAGTTAACCAGCCAAGTTGTGTTTCACGTTAGCATCGTGCATGCTTAGCAGAGAAGGCTATTGTTTGCTAGCTAAGTACTAACAAGAACAGCGCGCGGAAGGCGGCATTCGTTTAAATCAACCTTTGAAGTTGGTCGTCCTCTATATAAGGTGTGTTTGTCCAATGTTATTTTCCACACAGTATCCAATGGTGATGCACACTGCAAAAATCAGTAGCCGTTCATTAAATAACATGTCAGTTCAAGTAATATGACGAACTCTGACCCGGTTGAGTAGTATTGAGTACAGTAACTGTTTGCGGGGGACACATTCAAATGATGCACAAGGCTAACTAAGTTGAAGCTAGCTTGTAGCATCTCTCTTAGTCTATCTAACGTCGGCCGTCAGTTTCCTCGTGTGTCTGTATTCATATGAGCGTGCATGAAACGATAAATACTGAGACAACTATCTTGCGACTATCTCTTAGTGAAAAATAACCATCGTATATTCTGCCAAGCCACAGTAATAATGTGATTAATTTGTCTTTTTTTAGGTATAGCTGCAGCAATAGCCTATAGACTTATGTTTACATTAAGCTTACTGTATATTATCGTGAGGACTGGATAGATTACCACGGAGCAGAGCCAAAGCTCATTGTTATATATTTTAGGATTTTTCTACATAAAAATGTTTAATTGTGTTATTTTGTTGGTAATGTTCAGTGTAAGAAATGTGAATATAAGTGTAACATCCTCAGAGACGGCACCTAAGTCCTATTCTTTCACACACACATACGGGTTTTGGGCCGAGGGCGACACCGTACTTCCGGTATCAACCATTTCACGCGAGGTGCATACAGAATATCATAGTCTTAATCAATATAGTCAACTCTAAAATACCACATATATGCATTGGCATGATAATATTATTGTGACTGGTGTTTCTAGAAGATAGACGTAGATGCTGCCAAAATCGACCGAAGGCCACTTTTGAGGGTCGTAATTCCATACATTGTACATCCAACAACCCACACAGCTCTAGTTTACGCTGGTAACGACCTAGAGCACACCCCTCAAGTCCAGAGATGTAATCCGAAGACATGCAGCGATTTCTTCGGTCGTTAATTCAGAAAAAAAACCTAGTGTGCTCTGCCTGCCTACATAAGCTAGCTGTTTATATTAGCATCTCCAGGATTTTTGCACCTCCAGAAAAATGGCATCTTTATAAAAAAACATATGGCGCGCGTTGCATTGTGGGTAGCTGTGACGTCACTGTGTGTGAAAGAATACATTTTAAATCCTGCAGACAATTTGGAGTGGAGTGGAGGTGGTGACCCTCAGCCCACGTGTCAGTGTCTTCAAGGAGAGATGGCCTGGTTTATTCAATGAGGCTTAGGTGAGAACATTACTTTTATTTTTTTCCCATTTCAACTCACTGTTCTCAGAGTTGTGAGTAATGAGTGTTGTCCCCTATGCTCTTTATTAGATCAAGGAGGAGTTCCGACACATAACAACTCTTTCACTGGAAGAGACTTTGATGCTGAAACTGGATGGGTACACTAACACCACTCGCTCCAGCTGATGCGTGCCAAAGGAGGAGATGCTGGCTCCAGGATGCGCCCTCTTCTGAGCACAATTGATGAGGTACATTTATTTAAATGTTTCATTCAAGAATATGAAAATGCAGAAATAAGTCTTGTCACTAAAATGCATTTCCTCACAGGCCCAGAGTGTTGGGAAAAAGGGATGCAGTGGCCAGGTGTCTGATTGAAGACCTTGGGGAACGCCAAGAAGACCTTTTTCAAGACAGCCAGGTATGTCATTAAAGACTGATCACTTCAAGATTTTAACGGAGTTATTTCGGAGGTTGCTCTGATACCATTGTTTAATTTCTGTGATTAACCACTCTTACACCGAACAAATAAATATGCAATTTATTGCTGTAAATCTGTAAACATCTTATTGTTTTTATAAGTGGTTTAGCATTCACAGGAAAATGATTTAGGGATAATGTACTGATGTGCTTAGCTACTTAACATATACAACTACCTAAAAACAAAAACCTTCTTTTGGTGTTAAAGTGAAATAAGATAAATAAAATCATGCACTGAAAAGTTATGTTCATGGGAAAGAATCATCAATTAATGTAATGTCATTGATTAGATCGATGGGCAATTTGACTGGGCCTGACATTTTTTATATAAGTTAGAAATCTTGTTTTATTTTTAATCGCTGCCACACATTTTTACAAATCATTTAAAAAAAGTCAATCCCTGGATTTATTGATTAGGCTTAATGCTAGACCACAAAGCCTATATTGTATAATAGCTTCTTGTTAATATGCCTAATTTAAAGTGAAGATGCTTTTCTTTCTTTCTTTTCAACATGGAGGACGAGCATGACAACGTCGTGGACCAAACTATGAAGGTGCTTGTGATCCATGATGCCAGGGACGGGACCAGCAGATGTGTCCATTGTCATAGAGGGAGAAAGAGTTTTGTGCGGAAAGGTCCAGAGCCGCAAATAAACAATTTGTTCTGAAGTGGATGTTGACTTGTTTTAGTGCCGAGTGACACAAACACAACATAATGAGATGTGGAATGTAATGGATGTGGAGAAACCTTGTTCTGTTAAAAGTGGACTGTTTACTGGCACGTAAAGGTTTTAATAGTTGAGTAAATTGCACTTGGAAGATTATGTTAAAAATGTTTACAATTTCCATGCACTTTACTGTTAAAACAATGTGATTGTATAACTATTTTGAAGATTCTGCTCGGTGTTAACAATTGAAATGCACTTAACTGTTTAAATAATCTCAATGTATGACCATATTGCACTTATACATTTGGTCAATAAAAAAAACATGATCAATAAAATCTTGTGTGGCAATATATTGTTTACTGGTAACCTTACTAATAAAATAATATTAATGTGTAATATGGATCAATTATTAAGTAAATAGCTGCCTACAATTAGGAGTAAATATTACTCGTTTATAAGTAATACGTTTCATTAAGTAATTGAGTTAGATTTGACTTAATTTCTTAAAGTAAGTCTTATATATTAAATATTAGTAACCTTTACCCAAAGACATTGGGCAAAATCTACTCAAAAGAAGTGTGTGCAAATTGTTACCCCCATTTTATTGAGTAGATCTTATAGGTTGGTTTTTACAGTGTATGACACGTATATTTCGTCTGTTCACTTACTGCCTGAAAGACCGTTTATGCCATCCCAAGAGTCATGCTGCTAGCAAGGCTTACAACACACATGTTGTAAACAACACACATGAGGAATAATTTAACCTTCAATATAAGTCTTGATTTATTCAATGTTGACCTTTGTTTTTCAGTTTTCACTTTCTCCGATAGCATCAGCAAAAGTGTCAACAAAAGGATGTGCTAGCGCAACTTAATGCCTGATATTTGACCCTTGACCCTTTCAACCATTTCCACAGTGTGCATACACATATGAATTGTAAGGGTTTCCAAATGTATTGTACAAACTTTGATTTATTTTTGATGATCTGATTAATCTATGCACTTTTGCCTTCAGTAGGAGTGCTAATTTGGAGTAGGCTACTATATATCTAAATTTACAACTATATTTTCTTCCCTATAGGCAGGGGTGGGCAGGTCATCTGGCAAACCAAGCTTTTTCCCTGGGGGCCATAGTGCTTTTTGGACAACACAACTGTCTACTTTTTTTATTTTGTCTGGTCCTTGCCCAATCCTATCTTTCAATCTGTCCCCCCCCCTTCAGGCTCAGTGCCTTCATTAAACAGTGCAACGCAAGTGCCAAAATGGATAAGACAAAACGCAAGGAAGGCAGTATTTGTCTCCCTCTCCTCCTTTTTTTTTTTTTGTTCACTTTCATTACATAGTACAGGTACTATGTAAAATGGTTTCTCTGCATTTGACCCATCCTAGTGTTAGGAGCAGTGGGCTGCCATTATGAACGGCGCCCGGGGACGCTCAGGGACACCTCGGTAGCACTTGGTCTTGCCGGGACTTGAACTGGTGACCTTCCAGTTGCCAAGCCAAGTCCCTATGGACTTCGCCACCACCACCCTATTACTGTACATACGAAGACAAGGGTGAGTTACTTTGGGCATTGGCGTCACCAGATCATGTTGCAGTAATGTAAGGCCATTTAAAGCTCGACAAAAAGGTCTCTATCTCTCTCTGTTACCGAACAGCCTGTCATACTAAATGCATGTCTGTGTGTGTGTGCGTGTGTGTGTGTGTGTGTGTGTGCGTGTGCGTGTGCGTGTGTGTGTGTGTGTGTGTGTGTGTGTGTCAGTCCAATTCTCCTTCAGGTTGACCAGAGTGGTGCAGTGTGCAGTATTATTCTATCTAGGCCGACCCGACCCGGGAATCAGCATCACAAGGAATTCCTTAACAAAGCAATGGGATTTTTTTATTAGATTTTCTAGTATTGCAGAAAATAAGATCTGTGGCAGGTAACAGGTTTTGCTCAGCTGGATAATCTCCACATATTAACACCACTTGTATGATTTTTTTAATTGTAAATGCATCACCAGAAGTTAAAAGCTAATGTTAGGCTATAAAAGAACTACATCATAGTGGCTTGGCTGCGTATCATCATCATCATCATCATCATCATCATCATCATCATCATCATCATCATCATCATCATCATCGCAAGGCAAACTCCTGTTCGGCGTGATTACGTTTAGTGGTCATATTTAGTCATTTGTTAGCAACCACTTTTTTTAACCACAGATCTTATTTCTGACATCTAACCAAAAATATATTTAAAAAAGCGTTGATTTCAAAATGAAAGATCTGTCAGGGGAATAATGCTGACTTATTTTGGGGTTTTCGAACTCATTCCTGCACCACTCTATTGCTGCAGAAAGAGAATCTCACAAATGAATGATGGAGAGTTAGAGGAGGAATGGAAGATTGTACAGGTGGAAAACATAACTCGATTTGTTTTCCAAAGAAAAGACAGGATAAGAAGTTTGCCTTAGTGGATATATTTGACAATGATGTTGAAATTGTCTTTCACATCTTTACTGAATATTTTAATTTTGGTGGGCAAAATGCCAGGGATGATATGTTGTCCCAGCCCTGTGTTTATGATTATTAACACGGCTTAGTTGAATACTCGATTCTGATTGCTCAATTTGGACATTTAGGTCTGCTCATTTACAATAACAAACCTTTGCTTAGGATAGCAGACTGTTGGAAAAGATGCTCTAGTCATGTGCAGTCATTTCAGTCAGTAGAAAGAAGTGTGGTCAATTGGATGTCAGCTGTTGCCAAATAGCTCCCTCAGAAAACAGTGAGGAATACTTTTGAATGTTACATTTTATATGTTTGGAAGGAACAACACTTTTCATTCATGATGGCTACATTTTCCCCACAAACAAAAAAGGAAAAATAGAGAAAGAACAAGAAAACAGTGTAAGACAAGGTGAGACGTTAAAAGACAAGAAAGAAAGAGAAATCAGAAGAAGACAGATGAGAGTAAACACTAACGGGAACACGGTATGAACTCTGGCAATGTTTAAAGACGGGTTATTGGAAAAGACAGTAAAAACTGATTTGGACAGTTACAGGGCAGAAAACCTCAATCAGAGCTACTGGCAATTTAAGTTAATGTTGCTGCAGTTACAGTAGTTGCTTTGCAGTAGAACAGATTATTGTGTCTTAGTGGAAGAAATAGTATCACTGTTAAAACAATAAAATCCTTTTAAGTCAATATTGATAGTAAAATTGTTGATCTATTCAGTAAGTATCCTTCAGGGTAAGTTGGGGTTATTTTCTCATGAATGACTTGCTGCATATTACCCTTCACTTATTTTTTGCAGCAGTCAAACTCCCCTCTGTCTGCAGTACCTTGTTCTCCTGCGGGGTGAAGGAGACAGTGAAAGAAGCGGCGAGTCCTGGTGCGACCCGGCTGCCAGCATCCTCTGGTCCGGCCACATGGAAAAAGTCTGAGTCCTGACGCTCCAGCTTCACTTTACGTGAAACCTTGACAGAAAAGAAACATGACAAAAAGTTTCAAAAAACTGCGAACGCCACACTGCAACAACCACAGATCCAGGTACACACACACACACACACACACACACACACACACACACACACACACACACACACACACACACACACACACACACCACACACACACACACACACAGAGATACACAAGTGATGATTTATTCATTACTGGATGGTGTCTTGTACAAATTGCAGCGATAAATCTTTTGCAATCCCCTGTGACCTTTTCCAATCATTTAGTAACACACAAACCCACATACAAACACACACAAGCAGATACTGTAGCCTTTTTCTCCTGCTATGGAGAAAAAAAAGTCTGTTTCTGTTGTTCCATTTCACTGAAATATCAGCTCAGTAGTCCTGTTGTGAGTGTAACTATTTACGTAATAATCACCCATTCACCCACCTTGTCTTTGTTGTAGAGACGTAGAGGTAGTGTGTAGGTTTGTCCAGGAGTGAAGTTCTGGAAGACCAGTTCAGATGGATGGGGCTGGAAAAGTGACTGATTCATACCCACTACGGACAACTAAAACAAAAACAGTAAAACAAAGAACAGTAAAACAAAAACAGTAAAACAAAACGCTGTCGTTAAAAAAACACAACATATACAGCCATCCGTGTCTTACAGTATGTATCTCTAAAAGGCGATTGTTTTTCTTATTGCTTTTAAGGTGACACACACCCAAATTACACACAGTTAATGACTTCCACTTCTTGTATACGGGTACATTTATTTCCAAGACATTTATTACCAACTTCATGTATTTAGTATGTTAAATGTGTTAAATTTGCATATGCAATCCCGTTTGGATGCATATGATATGAAGCATTTAATTTTGCGTTATTAAAGAAAGCCAGATATGATCTATTCTACATAGTAAAACAAACATTATATCCAAGTTATTTTTAAGGGATAGTTCACCCAAAAATTTCAAAATACATCTTAACTGAAGAACATTTGGTTAAAAGAAATAGCTCCTACATGAAACAAATAATGTCTATGGGTTATCTCGAGTAATCGGGTCATGATTTCTGAAAAGAGGCATTGCTTTGAGTTTTGAAATGTATTTTATCAGCATTTTGAGCGTTTTAAAAGGCAGAAATCTCCAACACACCTTCCAAAACTCACATTTAAACAATCCAGATTGATTAATAGCACTATATGAAAGAAGACAAATATGGATTTTCATTGTTGGTACATTTTAATCTAATTGACATTTCAGAATCTATAATGCTTATTTGTAGTCTCTCTTACGGTATCTGTCTGTTAAATATGAAGCTACAGACACCATCTGGTCATAAGAAGATATTATGATAGTTACGTTCGTTCCGGTGCACGTCCGACAGCATTTAGCACTACATCGAGATTAAGATTAAACTAATTTATTTTGGGAACACCCGCATATAGGCTACCTATGGAGTTAGCCAGATGTGTGTAAATTACTGTTCATGGTCATTTGAAAAAAAATGCCGGTGTCGGACAGACACAAACACAGAGCTGAGCTGAGCAGAGCACACACACACACACACACACACACACATCATGCGCCTTGGTGACTGGACATCTCCTTCATAAAACTAATAAAAGGGGGAGTAATCGAGCAGTTCGATGTGTGTAGAGGTGTGTGTGGTTAACATGTAGCAGCCTGCAGTCACTCGCTGTTCTGATGAAGGTAAACAGCGAAGGCGGTGCGTAAAAAGGCACAGCTCTCGGCGCGCTGGTGCTGCACTTCTCAGAGGCGGAGTTACGTCCCGCTGCCTCCTGATGGTGCCTGCAGCCATTTCATGAAGTGAAGGAGGTTTTCCTTCTATAAAACAGCTGTGGGCAGCAGATACCGTGAGAGTCCCGTACATGAATTCATAGATCAAGGCAGACTGGTTTACTCTCCTGTTTTGCCAATCCGGTGCTTAAACAAAGGCAAGGCAAGTTTATTTATATAGCACTTTTCAACACAAGGCAATTCAAAGTGCTTTACAAAAAAATGAAAGACATTCAGACAAAGGCATGTAAAATCAGTCATTAAAAAGAAAAGCTAATAAAATAAACATATAGCTCTACACCCCTGGCCGACATGTCCTTAAAATGAAGTCCGAGTTTGAAATATATCTCAAATAATGTATGCACTGCCATTTCCCCACATAAACATAACAGTCTGCAATCAAACGGTTGTCTCCTGTACGCTCCTCTTCCTACTTGGCGCACCGGCTTCTCGTGCGCACGAGAGGCTGAGACCTTATAGGCTGAGCCGCCGAATCCCTCGGAACATCATAAAAGCCATTTTCAACGGTTATCTGGTGAAAGATCAACTAGGCTACTGGATGAAATAATATGACTGGTATAGGTGCGAACATTAAACAGTTTTTGAAAAAAATATTATGATAAAATATTTTTATATATTTATAATTCTGCAAATATTACGATAAACTCACAGCTATTTCGCGGCCCGGCAGTAACACCTCCGCGGCCCGGTACCGGGGGTTGGGAACCCCTGACCTAAAGAACATATCTAGGATTAAAAGACTAATGTCACAGCAGGATTTGAAAAGACTTGTCCATGCTTTTATCTTCAGTAGACTGGACTACTGTAATGGTGTCTTCACAGGTCTCACTAAAAAATCTTTTAGAAAGCTGCAGCTGATTCAGAACGCTGCTGCTCGAGTCCTCACTAACACTAAGAAAGTGGATCTGTCACAAGTTAGACACTTCTATTATTGTTTGTTTGGTGGCTCAACTAAACTCTCCTGTCATTTTAGATCCCGCCTTCCTCCAGGCCCTTGTAATCAGCTCACTTCCCTCACCTGGTCTCCCCAGCCCTTCCCCTCACCTGTTACTCATTCCCTCATCACTCCACAGTATTTATACCACCTCACTATCACTTGTCCTTTGCCAGATTGTCTTGTCGTTTCCGCCAAGCTCTCCAGTGAGTGTTGTATTCTAGCCTAGATTTTTGTCCTGCCCGGTTTTTGATCCCTGCCTGCCTCTTTACGGATCTCGAGTTCCTGCCTGCTCCCTGTCTGGTTTTGGTTGCCTGTCTGACGGATTTACTGGTTTTGACCCTGCCTGTCCCTGACCTGAATAAACTGAACATTGCTATACACTGGTTGTATCTGAGTCGTGCTATTGGGTTCTGATCTGTACCTGTGATCGTGACAGGATCACATCACTCCTGTTCTGAAGTCTTTACACTGGCTTCCTGTGTGTCAAAGAATAGATTTCAAAATACTGCTGCTGGTTTATAAAGCACTGAATGGTTTAGGCCCAAAATACAGAACCTTCCTGCTACGGTCCAAAGTCCGGAACTAACTCCAGCTTCCGCTGTTCGAATCCAGAGTCCTCCGGCATCGGATGCACGCCTGCCTCCTCCGGAACGCTACTCTGGAGCCCCAGGTTCGTGCAGACCATTCCTGGTCCAATGTTCCCTCGCCTTCGAGCTTCAGCCTTCCGCCTTCCCAACAGAAAGATCCCGGGTGGCGTATATTGTCTCTCTTCTCACGGGCAAAGCTAAAGACTGGGGTACCGCCGAATGGGAGAGACAATCCTCTGCCTGCTCATCTGTAAGCTTATTCTCCGATGAACTGCGTAAAGTCTTTGATCACGCTACACCCGGAAGAGAGGTCGCTCGGGGACTGTTTAACCTGGCGCAAGAAGGGAGATCTGTGTCCGATTACTCCATCGAGTTTCGTACCATAGCCGCCGAGAGTAACTGGAATGCTTCTTCACTTCTCGATGCCTTCTACAACGGTCTGTCGGATCGCCTTAAAGACGAACTGGCAGCTCGGGACCTTCCTGCTGATTTAGATGAGCTGGTGGCTCTCTCCATCCGCATTGACGGCCGTCTGCAGGAGCGGAGGAAAGAGAGGGTTTTCTCAGTCGCCCCTCAGGCTCCGCCTCCCCCGTCAGCGCATGCTACTGAACAGGTGAGAGGAGGATTTTCTAACTCTTCTGAACCAATGCAGCTGGGGCGGACCCGGCTCTCCGAGGCAGAACGACAGCGCCGCCTGCGGGACAACTGCTGTCTTTACTGCGGCCAGGAGGGTCATCTTGCCTTCTCTTGTCCTGTAAAAGGCAGGGCTCACCAGTCATCCAGAGGGCGCTGGTGAGCCGAATTATGAATTTAGAAATGCCCTCTCGACCCCTAACCCATGCTCAGCTGAGCTGCTTGGGGAAAATGCACACTGTGGCTGTTCTTATTGACTCTGGTGCTGATGCCAGTCTTTTGGATATAACACTGGCCTTTCAGATGGGACTTGGTCGGGAGGTTTTGGAGAAGCCCATCAATGCTACAGCTCTAGATGGTCGTCTTCTCTGCAGAGTGACACACCGTTCAACTCCAGTTCAAATGAGCATGTCAGGTAATCACAGCGAAACACTCTCTTTTCACCTTATCCATGCACCACATCAGCCTGTCATTTTGGGGTTTCCTTGGTTAAGGAGGCATAATCCTCATATAGATTGGGCTTCAGGGACTATTAGAGAGTGGAGTGCTCATTGTCATGCTGTCTGCTTAAGATCTAGTTCCTCAATTGATTCCAGTCAGCCGATTATCTCTGAGTGTCAAGACCTTTCCGGTGTTCCCAAGGATTACTGGGACCTTAAAGAGGCCTTTAACAAGGTTCGGGCCACCTCACTCCCGCCTCATCGTGCTAATGACTGTCCTATTGACCTGTTACCTGGTACTTCTCCTCCTAGAGGTCGACTTTTTTCTTTATCGGCTCCTGAAACTAAGTCAATGGAGAAGTATATCAATGACTCTTTGGATGCAGGGCTTATCCGGCCTTCATCATCTCCTGCTGGTGCAGGTTTTTTCTTCGTGGGTAAGAAGGATAAGACTCTGCGCCAATGCATTGACTACAGAGGACTCAATAACATCACTGTCAAGAACAGGTACCCCCTTCCACTTGTTTCCTCTGCATTTGAACTGTTACAAGGCGCTACTATTTTTACCAAGCTGGACCTACGTAACGCGTACAATTTGGTGAGAATCAGGGAGGGGGACGAGTGGAAGACGGGATTTAACACTCCTAGTGGACATTATGAGTATTTAGTCATGCCTTTTGGAATCACCAATGCACCTGCAGTCTTCCAGGGGTTGGTGAATGATGTTCTGCAGGATCTTCTCAATATCTGTGTTTTTGTATACCTGGATGACATTTTGATTTTTTACAAGTCAAAACAGGAGCGTGTGGTCCATGTTCGCCTAGTCCTCTAGAGGCTCTTGGAGAACCACCTCTTTGTCAAGGCCGAGAAGTGTGTGTTCCACACCACAGAAGTCCCGTTCCTGGGATTTGTGGTCTCCACCGGAAACATCAAGATGGATCCTGAAAAGACCAAGGCGGTGACTGACTGGCCAGGCCCTTCAACACGCAAGGAGCTCCAACGCTTTCTGGGTTTTGCCAACTTCTACCGGAGGTTTATCCGAAACTACAGTTTGGTGGCCGCTCCTCTCACAGCTCTCACCTCTCAGATCATTCCCTTCCGGTGGTCCTCGGTGGCCGAAGGGGCTTTTGGTGAGTTAAAGTCACGCT